AAGAGCTGACCTGCGTCTGACCTCAAAGTGCACAAGCGTCCAACTTCAGCATTGGCTGCGATTTTGAAGCTGAAATCGCGTTCGGTGTGAACACAGCATTATATACTTCAAAACTTTGTCTCAGTCCTCTGAAACAAAAGTCTGGAGATCGGTTCTCAGTGGAAAATAGTTCTCACAGACAGATTCAGGTCCACACTGAATAAATAAAAACACAAGTAAATTTAAAAAAACACAGGTATAATATAACAGTCACACCCAGCAGAGTCTCACAATAATCAGACATCGTACATTTTTCTACACATATTGGTCACTGCAATCAGAAGGAAGTAGTTTGGTTGTAGTTAGAAATAGTTTAACTTTGTTAAAAGATTTGTTAAACACAGTTTAACTTTGATTTACAGTGATTTTAATTAAAATCAATGTAGTTCTGACAAAGTTTAAAAATGTAGCCAACAAGGTCATAAAAAACAAAAGCTTTTTAAACTCAGTGAACACAAATTAAGCTTTTCTTCTTTTCAAGCCGTTCTGAATAAACTTTGACTGAACATGAAATATGAGCCTGTTTCTTTTATTTTCTCCTTGTATCGTCATGCTAACGCTAACACCATGCTAATAACAACAATGAACAAAGCTTTCTTTTTAGCATAGAAGGCATTTAATCATGTCTTCTTAAAAATACTGAAAAGTACAATGTGTACTAAATGCAAAATAAATTGTATGAACTACTATTAAAAGTAAAAGAGAATAAATTACAGTTGTCTGGGGGTTTGATGGTAGTTGACTCAAGTCCCTCTACTGGCCCGGTCGGAGCATTTCCATTATGTGTTTCTGAACTTGCAATCATTTTTCTAACAGTCATTTTTTTAGAATGCATCATTTTTTTCCCCAAGCAGTGTCTTTTTCTTTCATTTGTGTTTTGTGTTTGCGTTTTTAAGTTTGCAACATTTTTTAATTTGCAGTCAATTTTATGAATGCAGCATTTTTATTTAGCATGCAACATTTTAATTTTGCATCTTTTTTTTTGCAACGCGTTTGTTTTGTATGCAGAATTTGCACTTGTTGGCCACCGTATAGAGCAAATATCTCCCCAGGATCTAAGAATTAATTTTAAACCAATGGAAGCAAGAGGGTTAAAACAACAATCATTTAAAACTATTCAATCCAGTGATTCTTTTTCTTTCTTTCTTTCTTTCTTTCTTTCTTTCTTTCTTTCTTTCTTTCTTTCTTTCTTTCTTTCTTTCTTTCTTTCTTTCTTT